TGTGTGTAAGAACGCCTGAAGTTCAGTTATATTCATATTTTATTATATATGTATGTTTTTACAAAAGTATTGAAACATTTGCGTGTTGGTTTTGTGTGTATACAGCTATGTGCGTGTGGCTGGCATGGCCTTTTGGGTGTGGTCATGACTGTTATGTTGTCATGACTCCTGGTCTACTAGAAACAACATGGTGTGTGTCTCAACTCACACAAATATTCACATATTCATATATGTATAAAAGAAGAAACTTATCTACAAACATTCACTTCACTGGTAAGAACACTACTCACCTACCATTGGAGGTTTGGACTTTCATAGTTATTTACGTATTACTCAAGCTCCAGCGAAACTTAGAAACGTACGTCAGAATCACCAACGATTGTGGAGAATTACGAAAAGATGAGGAAGCCAGTCGCCATGTAATACTTAAGGGGGACCTTTGGAGAGAGCCTGAGGTAATGCGCGAGTGTGGGAGGCTCAGGTAATGGCAATGAGGTAGGGAAGTTAAGCTTAAGGTACTTTGGTATGGAGAAACTTACATAAATGGAATGGATTATGTATGGCGTCAGGAAACAAAATGTCAGGGCAACGAAGAAACTGGTCTGACTCGAGTCGCAATAGGCAGTTCTAACATCAGCATATGAGCATTTGTTGACCAGTGAAATTTCTTTCCATTATATGAGTAAATCAATTTAAAAAATTGCTTATCTTTTCCCTGCGGAATCTATTAATGATCAAACTTTTTTGTCGAAGAGTTCAGTTTTGTTAAGTCTTCTTCGATATGGAACTGCACAAATGAAGGAAATAATAATCGAAAAAGTGATAGAAAATGAAATGCCGAGCGTAGGTAAAGGGTACTTGAATACGGAATGCTTGTGACAGCGGACGAATTAATCAAGACATAAAATGAAGGACGTAACCAATGCCAGTAAGCAGTAACAGTAAGCACGGGGGAAGATAGAGTAAAAAACGAAGGGAAAAATCGAAATCAGTGAGCGAGTCAAACAATGAGTGGACAAAGCAATGAGTGTTTAAATCTGAAAAGAACGACGAAGCTAAGCAGATCATTAGTCTGCATGACAAATGGCCCCAAAACAAGAAATCACTAATGAAACCCGGGGTAAAAAGGCTAATGCAGTCACGACTCATAAAACTGCTAATGGAATGAACTTTGAATGCAGAGGTTAAAGAGAAACTTAATGTGAGGAACGGTTATCATCTGGCTGGAAGTTCAGGGACCCAGATGAGGGGGGGCGGGGCGCCAGGTGGATGAGCTGAATAGGAGATGAGAAGAAATGAGGTAGTGAGACTGGAGGGAGAACGTTTCGAGCAATGAGGAACTAATAGTATATCTCGGTGTTCAGATTCTCATGAGAGTAAATGAGGGTGGAGTATGTGAAAGGTCGATCAGTTTTTCATCGGTTGTCGGAGTAGAAGTGTAAGCTTGTAAGCTGTTTCAAAGAATAAAGGGAGTGTACAAAGAAAATAATGATCAGGGCGAATGCTGCGGAGAAGCGTCGAGAGAGGGCACCAGTGCCACGTCAGCGGAGGCCCCCTGTGCCACCTGGGTGTAGCGGTGAGACCCTCCTGTAGGAGAGTTCGCCCGGCCCAGGGAAGGCCCTCGAAGGGAGCCTCCGCCTCGTGAGCCCAGCAGCGAGCGCGCAACGCTACCTGTGTCCACGATGACGTCCACGAGGTCCATGGACTTGGCGATGGCGTCACGGAGGTTCACGTGGTGGAAGGAGACGATGGATCCTTCCCGCTTGGCTCTCTCGAGGGCCTCGCGGCGCTTGAGGGCCTTCTCGCGTCGCATCTGATTCTTGTAGAACTCGGCGAAGTTGTTGACGATGATGGGAATAGGCAGCGCAATGACCAGCACACCACAGATACAACACACGGACCCAATGACCTTGCCCAGGGGTGTGATAGGATACATGTCTCCGTACCCTACCGTCGTCATGGTAATACCCGCCCACCAGAAAGTCTCTGGGATACTTTTGTACACAGGATTTTCGTCTTTTTCCGCAAAGTAGCAGAGACTCGAAAAGATTAACACGCCCATAGCTAAAAACAACATCAACAAACCTAATTCCTTATATGAATTTTTCAGTGTGAAACCCAAACTTTGAAGACCCGTCGAATGTCGGGCTAGCTTAAGGATTCTGAGAATTCTCATGATTCTGAAGATTTGAACAATTCTTCTCACATCCTGGAACTGGTCTGTGTGTTTGTTGGATTCTATAAGGAACAAGGAAACAAAGTAAGGGAGGATGGCGAGTAAGTCTATAACGTTCATTGCCCCTTTAAAGAATTTCCACTTGTTGGGGCTTGCGGAGAACCGCAGAAGATACTCGAGTGTGAACCATGTGATACAAACGGCCTCCACCATGGCCAGTTTCTCATTGTCTCCTTGCTCCGGACCCTGAAAGCTCGGCACAGTGTTGAGCACGAGAGCGAGCGTGGACATGACGATGAAGATCACGGAGATCACAGCCAGCACCTGCGGAAACCAAGAACCGAAACCGTCACCCGAGTGCTCAGAGGCCCTAGCCGGGTTCCTCTCTCCTGTGGGGGCCGACCTGCTCTTGCCCTCCTGCCTGCGCCTGCTCATCCGCCTCCTCCTCCTCCTCCTTCCTGCTACTCCGGAGACAAGCAGGCTCAGCAGGAAGGTACAGTGCCACCACCGCTAGGCCAGTGTTGCGAACAGGTGCTCCGTCAGCGTGAGTGCAAGACTATCAACAACTCCCCACAACTGGGCGAAATGTACTTTAAAAATTGCGTAAAAAGCCAAGACCACTAAAACGATATTGTGTAAAATAAACTGGAACGTAAATGGAAAGAATTTCAAAGAACACTAGAATCGTTGCTGTCTGGAGAACAGAGGAGATGCACCAAATGAATCTGAAATCCGTAGACATAATTTAAGAAATCAGATTTTAATCGATTACTTTCCTTATCAATTTCATAACTTCAATCATTATTTTTTTATGTTCAGTAACAATATAGTATTGATTGCAGGATTAGTTTTTGTTGTTTAGCTTAGTTTATAATTATTTTCACCGCCTTCGCATAATCATTATATTTCTATCAACATTATTGTTATTATCACTGCTATCATTATTGTCATTGCCGTTATTATTATTATTATTATTATTATTATTATTATTATTATTATTGTCAATATTATTATTATCATTATCATTATTAGTATTCTTACCATTACCATTATTATTACTATCGTTATTATTATCATTATTGCTATTATTATTGTCATTGTTAGTATTACTATTATTATCGTTGTTGTTATTATTATCATCATTATCGTTATTATTATTATTATTATCATTATTATTGCTATTGTTATTATTATTATTATTATTATTATTATTACTATTATTATTGTTATTATTATTTCTATCATCATTATTATCATTATCATCCTTATTATCATTTTATTATCATTATTATTAATATCATTATTATTATTATTATCATTATTATTATTATCATTATTATCATTGTTATTATTATCATCATTATCATTATCATTACCATCACCATCATACTATTATTATCATTAGAACTGTTGTTGTTTTTTATCGTTATTAGTTTTTTTTATTATCATTATCAGTAGTAGTGATGTCAGTAGTGCCATTACATATAGTCTTTTTAATCTTTTTCTTCTTCTTATTATTAATATTATTGTAGTTACTATTATTATCATTACTGTTATCATTATTAACATTATCATAATCATTACCATCATTATCTTTATTATTATCATTAGCATCAATAGCATTATTGTTATGATTACCATTATTATTACTGTTGTTTTCACCATCATCATCATTATTATTATTATTATCATTATCATCACAATCATATATTATATTTGTTCTAACTTTTATTGCATTTCTACCATTACCATCACTGCCATTATTGTAGTTCTATTATACTATCAGTATTGTATAATCATCACTACTATTACTATAATTATTATCTTCATTATTATCACTATTGCCATTATCATCATTGTTATTTATTATTGTTGCCGTTGTTGATGCTGCTTTTATTATCGTTATCATTAACACTGTTTTTATTACTATCGCATTATCACTCTAACATGTACAAATTTTATAATTGGACAATTATTGTTGTAATGACAATATCAATTATCTTCATTATCCTTGTTCCTGCCTTTATCATCATTTTAGTCATCGTTTTATTACTGATAATGTAATTTCCGGTATAATGCGTTTGATAAAATGTAATGATGGAAACAATAACATTAATTATAACCTTAATAATGACGATTTAGATGGCTATGACGGTTATACTAACAATAACGAAAATTCTACTGATAATGATGCCATTATAGAAGTGACGATTGATAATAGTATATATATTAACAATGCTAAAATTATATTCAAAATAATGATAATTATAAGGCTATTAAGGATGATAATGGTTATAATAATAATAATATGATAATAATGGTTATAGATCCTATTATCGCAGTCAATGATAACAGTAAAGATGGCGATGATGATGATGAAGATAATGATAATGAAAACAGTGTAAGAATCTAATTATGATAATGATAATGATGCTGTTTAGCTGACGACGACGACGAATGTGATGATGACACTAAAGGTTGTGATGATAGAGATAATGATAATAATGATAATAATAATAATGATAATGATAATAATAAAAATAATAAGGATAATAATAATAATAATAATAATAATAATAATAATAACAACAATAGTAATAACAATAATAATAATAATAATAATAATGAAAATGATAATAGTAATAATCATAATAATGATAATAGCAATGATGATAATAACAACAACAACAATAATAATAATAATAATGATAATAATGATAGTAATAATAATATTAATAACTATAATAAAAATGATAATGATCATAGTAATAATGATGATGAAATAATAGTCGTAGTGGTAGCAGTAATAAAAATAATAATAATG